GTAGAGACGGGGTTTCACCATGTTGACCAGGATGGTCTCGATCTCTTGACCTCGTGATCCACCCGCCTCGGCCTCCCAAAGTGCTGGAATTACAGGCTTGAGCCACCACGCCTGGCCTGTTGAACTTCTTTTAATGTACTTATTGGCTATTTCTTTATCTTCTTTGGAAAAATGTCTATTCAGGTCCTTTGCCCATTTTTGAATTGGATTGCTTGTCTTTTTGTTGTTGAAATGTAAGTGTCGTTAAAAATATACTCTACATACTAGGCTCTTATCATATATATGATTTGCAAATATTTTATCTCCTTCTCTGGGTTTTTTGCTTTCTTTTTTTATTTTTTAAGTTTTTAAATTTTTATTTTGTGTGTGTGTGTGTCCTGCCAGCATGGATAGAGCTTTCTTTTTTAAAAAAAAGTTTCTGTGATCTGTATTGCTTGCATTTATTTATTTATTTTTAATTTTTTTGTAGAGATGAGGTCACTCTCTGTTTGACCAGGCTAGCCTTGAACTCCTGGGCTCAAGCAGTCGTCCCTTGTTGGCCTCCCAAAGTGCTGGGATTACAGGTGTGAGCCACCATACCTGGCCATCTTTTGCTTTCTTGAGTGTGTCCTCTGATGCACAAAAATATTTTATTTTGTTGACGTTCATTTTTTTTTTTCTTTTGTTGCTTGTGCTTTTAGTGTTATATCTGAGAAACCATTCTGAAAAAAAAGTGAAGATTTAACTCGTGTTTTCTTAAGAGAGTTTTATAGTTTTAGTCCTTGCACTTAGGTTGTTGATCCATTTTGAGTTAATTTTTATGTATGATATGAGATAAAGGCTCAACTTCAGTCTTTTGCCGTGCTTATCCATTTGTCCTAGGACTCTTTGTTGAAAAGAATATTCTTTTTTTATTGAATAGCTTTTGTCACTCTTATTAAAAAGGAGTTGATGATGGAGACACAGGTTTGTTTCCTGACCCTCAGTTCTATTCCACTGATCCATATGTCAGTCTCTGTGCTACTACTGCACCATTTCATTACCATTGCTTTGAAAGTAATTTTGAAATTGGTAAGTGTGACTATTCCAGATCTCTTGGAATTCCATATCAACCTTAGAATCTCCTACACATTTCTACAAATAAGTCAGTTTAGATGCTTATAGGGATTGTGTTGAATGTATAGTTAATTTTAGGAAGTATCACCATCTTAACAATATTATGTCTTATCCATGAATATGGTCTTATCCATTATTTAGGTCTTTTATTTATTTTACCAATCTTCTATAGCTTGCAGAGTATACATTTTACACTTTTGTTAAATTTATTTTTGAGGCTGAGTGGAATTTTGTTATTTTCATTTTCAACTTGTTCATTGCAAATGTATAAATTGCTTTTTATATATTGATCCTATATGCTGCAGGCCTGCTGAACTCAGTTACTAATTCTGATAATTTCTTTAGGATTTTTTATGTACAAGGTCATGTCATCTGCAAATACAGATAATTTCTTTTCTGATCTGAATGGCTTTTATTTCTTTGCTTATCCAGTTGCCCTGGTTAAAACCTCATGTACAGTGTTGTGTGAAAGCGGCAAGAGCTGACATCCTTGTCTTGTCCCTAATCATAGTGTGATGGAATCCAGTTTTTCAACATTTTGTATGATGTTAGTTTCAAAGATACTATTTATCAAGTTGAAGAAAGTCTCTTCTCTTTGTAGTTTGTTGAATGTGTTTATCATGAAAGAGTGTGACATACTATTTTATTTCTCTGCAGCTGTTGAGATGATCATGTCATGGTTTTTTTTTTTCCTTATTCTATTAAGATAGTGTTTTACTTTGATTTTCTTTTTTCTTTCTTTCTTTCTTTTTTTTTTTTTAACTGTACATGTCAAGGAAATTACTTTTATTTTCAAATGTTAAACCAACCTTGCATACCTGGGATAAATCCCACTTGTCATGGTGTATAATTCTTTTTATATGATCCTGGATTCGGTTTGCTAGTATTTTTTGTTGTTGGCAATGGAATGTTTTAATTGGCTTTTTTTGGGTCCTGATTATGAAAGTATTATGTCTTGCATGTATAATATTGATTATATAACATTCTATCATATGGCTGCATATAACTTATTTAATCATTTGTTTTTTTCTAATTTTTCAACTTCTTTTTTCAGAGACAGGGTCTCGCTGTATCACCCAAGCTGAAGTGCAGTTGAGCAATCTTGGCTCACTACAGCCTCTGCCTCCTGAGTAGCTGGGATTATAGGTGTGTGCCACCACGCCTGGCTAATTTTTGTATTTTTTTGTAGAGATGGGGTTTTGCCATGTTGGCCAGGTCTCAAACTCCTGGCCTCAAGTGATCTGCCCACCTTGGCCTCTTAAAGCACTGGGATTATAGGTGTGAGCTACCACACCTGGCCTAATTTTTCAACATTTTAAATAATAAAATTCAATGAATATTTTTGTACATAAATTTATATCTGAGTTTTAAACTTTTTTGCTTAAGGTAGAGTCCTAAGAAGGGAAATCATTTACCAATAGGTGTGATCTTTTTGAGGACTTTTGAAACATTGTCAACTTACTTTTCAGAACAATTGCATTAGTACTCCTCGTAGCAATCCTTGAACGTTCACTGAACCATTGCCATAATAGCCAAAACCTTTATTAATAGGTGAATAATGATATCTTTTATTTGTTTTAATTTGCATTTATTTTACAACAAGTGACATAGATTATCTCTGCTAATCTCTTCTTGCTTTTACTGCTGGCTGATGGCTATGTTTCTATCTGCCTGCAGTGCTCTCTCCACCCACACTATCTTCTTCACCTGATTAATTCCTATCCATTCTTCATCTTTCATGTCCATTGACACTCCTCAGTACTGACTTCCCTCCTCCTGACTCCAATAATACATCTGATTTTTTTCCTTTTAATTTTTGTGAGTAGGTGTATATATTCATGGTATATATATATATATGTATATATATATATATACACACACACACGGTAGGTATATATATTCGTGGGTTACATGAGATATTTTGATATATCCATGCAATGGATAATAACATCAAGGTAAATGGGTTATCTGTCACCTCAAACATTTATCCTTTGTGATACAAATAATCCAATTATACTTTTAGTCATTTTAAAACATACAATTAAATTTTTTTTGACGGTAGTCACCCTGTTGTGCTAGCAAATACTACTTCTTATTCATTCCAACTATGTATCTGTACCTATTTACCATTCGTACTTCCACCCCACCACCCACTACCCTTCCCAACCTGTGGTAACCATCCTTCTACACTATATCTCCATGAGGTTCTATTATTTTTATTTTTAGATCCCACAAATAAATGACAGCATGCAAAGTTTGTCTTTCTGTGCCTGGCTTATTTCACTTAATGACCTCCAGTTCCATCCATGTTGTTACAAATGACAGGATCTTTCACTTTTATGGCTGAATACTACTCCATTCTATGTATTTATCACATTTTTAGTATCTATTCGTCTGGTGATGGACATTTAGGTTGTCTCCAAGCCTGGCTATTGTGAACAGTGCTACAGTAAACATGAAAGTGCAGCTATCTCTTTGATATACTAATTTCCTTTTTTTGCAGGGGGGGGGTATATACCTAAAAGTGGGATTGCTGGATGAT